GATTACAAAATCACGAAGGTTGATATTGCAAATTAGATGAGCGGAAGTAATATTTTTTCAACAAATAACTAAATTAATTTTATGTAAAGTCATACTTATTTGTGTAAAAATAAACAAGGACTGCGCACATGTATGTTTGGGTTTATCTTTAGGCGGCCAAGTTTATTAAACCCGATGAGACATAACATAAAAAATAAAAAAAAATAAATTAAAAAAATGCTATACATCCATTAATTTTCATGCATTTCTAAATTTTCTTACAAATGTTATTTATTATGCAATATGATAGTCTATTTTAATATAGAACAATTTTCTATCATTCAAACCTATCATTACAGAAAAATTGTTATATTTCAACGAAAAATCCTACGATAATATATTCAACGAAAAAACCTATCATCTAAACTTTATTTATTTATTCTATAAAAAAATTTCATTTGATAAGCTCCTCATCAACAAAAATGTTATGCAATGTGGTGCAAAAGTTCAATTTATATCAAATTTTCAACCTATAGATGTTGAAATTAAATTATAAATACATGCAATCTCATTTTCTTGTCTATTCTTTAAAAGTTTAAGGATGATACGGATTCTAAGTTTTAAAAACTTGAGGATATACGTATCTATATTTATATTTATATTTATAGTAATACATTTTTATATAAAATGAGTGTCGACTTAAACTACAAGCTTGTTATTTAACATTTTAAATCGGACCCCTCTAAATAAAATTTCTAGATACGTCACTGAATATATTCCAACGGATATTCTAATGGTATACCTTCTGTTGGAATGATTCCAACAGATATTCCAACGAAAATATTGCGTTGGAATGACTTTTTCATTGGAATTTTAAATGGAATTTAATGATTTCAACGGTTATTTTTCCAACGATTTTTTACCGCAGGAATTTCCGTTGAAATATGCAATTTCTGTTGGAATTTTTATTTCCACCTCCGTTGGAAAATCTACCGTTAGAATCGTCAAAATTTAACGGAAATTCCAATGGAAAACTCATTCTAACGAAATATTTTTTTTTTTGAATTTCCGTTGGAATTCAATTAAAATATATTTGTATTGAAACTTTCCGTTGGAATTTCATCATTTTGTTGTAGTGTATTAACAAATTTGCCATAAATGAAAATAGAGACAAGAGCTTAAGAACTTATGGCTTGTTTGGTCATCAATGATTAATTATTAGCGATAGATATTTTAATCGGTGATTAGATTTTCTGTTTTGAACAGTAAATAAAATCATCAGTTGTAAAATTTGTTTAGTAAAATTACATATATAAAATTATTTAGAAGAATTTTTATTTACTTTAATATATTTTATGTTACACTTTAATTAACTAATAATTATTTTCTTTCAAACTTTGAAAAATGTGGTCATAATAATAACAATAATAAAAAGTATGTTTGTCTTCATCGTTTTATCATGTTACAGAGGCTGATAACCAAACATGATTCTTTGTGTTTTTAATGCCGAAAAGCGAAAAAACAAACAAGGCCATAATTAATATTTATATAATATCACAAAAACTGTTGTTAGATTGCTTCACAATTAAAAAGTCATACCTTCTCACAAAAAATACATACTTACACTATAAAATGTCATACTTTTGTTTATACTATAATTTATAATATATAATTTGAAAATGAAAGTATATAAATTTGTTAGAAAAATATGATTGTCTAACAATTAGACAATATAATATAAGATCTACTTATATTAAAGGAATTAAGGGGTAGAGTACATTTGGGGGCAACACCTGATTCTGTGAGGACGTTTCACCTCTTCGTCACAAGTGTCAACCTTAGAGTGTCCCCTAAGATTTGTGCAAAAAAACAACAAAAAATGGATTAAGNGAACAAAAAAATATATATAAATAAAATGCTACTAATAATACATCACAAATTATTGTATGAAACGACTTGCCGGTTAAACGTATCAACTCGTTCATTTTCTAGAATATGATATTTTAATTTAAAATTAAATACATATATAGTTATAAAAATATGATCGTTTAACTGTTAGGCTTTGAGCAGCCTAACTATGACTAATGATACATATACATACCAACTACTATGAAAGTAACAAAGGGTGAAATATTACAACAAATTCGTATTGTTTAAGGTGGCGTAGACTAATTATGCCACCAAGAAAGGTATATTATGTTTTACTATTTGGTTTGTAACTCACTTTCACACAGTTACACAGTTAGTATATGATATTGAGCCAAGTACCAAATCTTGATTACAACCTAGAGTGACTTGTACTGTATGTGTACGAAATTAAAGCAATTACTAAGTATTTGCCGGCCAATGAAAATTACCAGCCGGCCGACCTTATGTTGTCTCGGATAATCATTTAATTAATTAGTTGTCAATTTCATGCATATACGAAAGATTCTCATGTAAGCTAAGGCACATAAAACTTAATGAAGAAGCTTCTTCGGAAAAATAGGATTTACTATAATTTTTTGGATAAGTATTTGTCAATTTTTTTAACCATTTTGTTTAGTAGAAGATGTATGGTAATTTCATTTGTTAGTACTTATCAATAGAACAACGTAATTTAAGAAAATTTTACTATAATATTTTGGATAAGGATTGCTTAAAATAAATGAAGACATAATTTTATATGTTAACGTATGATAGGCAAAAAATTAAAGTTCCCTGTCTCACACATTTCTCATATGGAAATTGAAACGTAATATTTGTTGAATTTATTGATAAAAAATGTATGTATTCTAAGTGTACTTGCTATTGATTTGAGATCATTCTTTTTGTACTTCTTTCTTAATGCAAATAATTGTATGGGCCTAAATACAATTTAAGGGTATACCCGGGCTCAATTTGAATTTTGATACTACTAAAATATGAAATTCAGGTCTTCAAATTAGACTGCTATATAAGAAGCCGAGCCCAACTCAGATGTCCATAGGCTCTTGGTGGGCTGAGACAAACGAAGTCACACACGTCGGGCTTATTGTACTCTGTCCCATGGATTATTATTTGTCAGTTTATTATTTTATGTCTTGACATATATTATGCTATTTATTTGTATGTTTTGGAAGATTGAGTATTGAGTTAATTGGTCTGCTTCATCGCAACGCGACAAATTAAAATTTATATTTTTTTTCGACTAACTTCCACTAATTAGTAGAAGCGACAAGTAAGGATCGATCCCACGAAGTGTGTGAATTAAATCGTGAATTTTTCGTATTAATTAAAATTATAAAAGTAATAAAAGAGAGAGTTATGATTTAACTAAACTAATTAAAAATGAGATAACAATAAAATTAATATAAAATAAAATCAAAACAAATATATGGAGAAAAATCTAGTTACCGGTTTTGTCTACGCTCTCGCTCAACTAGTATAACTAATTGTGACATCAAGTTTCACTATCTTCCAAAATTACTAGCCCAAGATAACAACATGCTCTACTACCCGAATTTTACTTTACAGTATATTTAGTCGAAACGCGCTTTTCGGTTAAACCTATCTACTAGACAATCTAGAACATGCACTCTAGATTTAATGTAGTAGCAACTTTAGGATCTAAGAAAATAAACTAGTCTAAGTAGTAGATTCATATGCTTGATCTACTTAATTAGGTTGTATTATTCCCGACAGTTTTCGGCTATTGCCTGCTACTAACGAATTAAACTCAACAACAATTACAGATTGCAAATTCAATTCTAGAATTAGACATGAAAAATCTTGTCTAGATGATCAATTTAAAATAAATTCAGTACTCCTCTAAATTAATTTCAATAAACGTAAAACATATGTGTATTACATGAGTGTTAGTAGAAAAAAACATACGATTAATTTTTTTAAAATAAACATATAAGTTTTATTTAAATTTTATATACTTCTTAAAATTTATATTATTACTGTTATATAAAATGACACTCGTCATTTATATGACTTGCCTGATAGATTGATTTATAGAGATGGAGATTAATTTATTGTCTGTAAATTAGAATTGTCATAATATTTTTTTCTAACCCATATCATATAAAATCATAATAGATAATTTTATTTAACTGATAAGTGTAATATATTATTTTGATTGATAGTTTAATTTCTATTTATGAATATAGATAAATTATTTGTTTATTTTATATAAACCATACAGATGTTAATTCAAAAATTGTTAAAAGATAATTAATTTGATATATTAAATATGAAAAAATGGTAATAAATAGAAAAAAAAATATGAAACTTAAATATATGTATAGTTTAAATAGACAAATGTTTTACACAATGTCTAGCTAAATTCAGAAATTCACTTGCTCAATATCATTTGCTTACTTCTCGAAGTTCGTTCGGTAATACTATTTTTCTCCCTCGAGCATTCCATTCAATTAATGCTCATGGACAAGTATACATTGATCAAATATATTCTTGGTCAACAAATGCACAATTGTTGTTATTAATAAAATTTTGCATCCTAATCAATTAATAAAAATATTAGTATTAAGTTTTACAATGCATTTATAACTTATATTTTTTATTATTGTTATAATTACTATAATTGCATCCTAATATATCTTGATTGTATAAAATAAATAGAGATAAAATTGAGCATCTAAAAGGACTAATACAAAAGCACAAATCGATGATTTGATATCTCCATAAAAGGTAAAAACAAGAATGGGTACAAATCCTAACTAGAACACATATATTAGGTAATTGATGACAAGCTAAAGGCAACGAAGTAGATTTGATGAAATTGGGAAAGGTCCCCCACCACACCTAATTTAAACGGAATTTAATTTGAACCACCGCCCTATTAGACAAACTACCGGCCAACCTTTTCATCTGCTCTATTTTTATAGTAAAGTTAAGATTTATACAATAATTAAATCCACATTTAGATGTTTTTAAGTCCATGTTAATCTTAAAACATGAAATGATTTTTGCATTCCATTAAGAATTCAAACCATTACATTCAAATGTATCATATTATTTGAGATATTAATAATAAGGGTTATTGATGAAAAAATCATGAACTTTTTGTAAAATTGTAAATTCAATTAAACTTTTTTAAGTTGACATATCAATATAAATATTTTTAAATTTCTATAATAATAGACCAATTCGAAAATGTTTGATCTAATCTGCAATTTGGACTGAAATTTAATATATCAGTTTGATAATATTTGATCTAATCTGCAATTTACAAAAATATACGAAAGTGTTGTGATATTTCTTGATATCTACATTTAGATGCTTTTAAACCAATGTTAATGTTAGGACATGAAATGATTTTTGCAATTCATTAAGAATGTGGCTTGTTTCAAACAATTACATTCAAATTTATCAACTTATTTGAGATAGTAATAAATAATAATAAGGGTTATTTGATGATTTTTTTAAATTGCACATTTAATTTAACTTCTTATGTTGACATATTAATAAATACTTTCATATTTTTATAATTTCGAACATCACACTGAAATTTAATTTACCAATTTGAAAATGTTGATATAAACTACTACTACAATTTAGGAAAATGTCATGATATTTTTTACAATTAAGTCAATCTATCTATATATAATAGGAATTACCATTTATCAAAAATAGTAGCAAAAAAATAGGTCACAATTTAATGCAGCATATATATAATAAGTTTTATTACTTTTCTTATTTTTTCTGTAAAAATCATACAGCATTAAATACTACTTCAAATTTTGAGCTTTAGTTCATTTTATTATTTAAAAAATTCGACTAAGATTTATTAAGTGTGTTTATTTTTATTTTTATTTTTTGCTTAAAAACAACGAACAATATTAAAATCTCGGTCTCTATTCTTTAAATTGCATAATCAATCTATTAATCTTAATTTTTTAAAAATTACTATGTTTATTTTTTTATTAATATGCATAAAGTAAAAATAATTAAATCATCTTAGATATATAATTTATAATCTTAATATACTATCATTTGGTGTAGACATTTATTATATGAATCATAAATTATTTTTATTTCATAAAAAAAATTTCTTTGGATAAATCGGGTGATTGAATTAGGGTACTGCCCAGGTTGATTGAATTACTTTTAGATGATATTTAAAACAGTCAAAAATTTTGACACAACTTGATTGGTCTCAGGTGACTAAGTTATGTATCAGTTCGACCACATCAAATCGATTATTGAACCTAAATATAAATTTTATATTGAAAATATGTTATTACGTGAATGTGATGTAGTCCAAACTTCAAATAATCGTATTAACAATACTTTATGAAAACATGTTTAGTAATTTATGAATATTTATATATCATTTTATTAATATTTATGTGAATTAAATAATATTTTATTATAATATTTATTAATGTACAGTAAATATAAGGTTTTCAGAACTAGATCGTCATCGAAACGATCAAGCTATTTTATTAAATATGTGATTTGTTCAGATTTTAATTTATAAACATTTTAATATATATATATATATATATATATATGTGTGTGTGTGTGTGTGTGTGTGTGTGTGTGTTACTTAAATAAAATGTATTACTTAGATATCTAAAGAATTTATAAATTCAAACGTTTAAACTAATTGATAAATAATTCATAAATCTCTATTTTATTTATATATGTAATTTTATTTAAAATAATTTTAAATATAACAAAATTTATTTAGAAATTCGTATTGATCCTACCAGTCCATGGTGTTGACGGATTCGAGAGAAAAAAATTTATTCAAGTGAACTACACTGGTTATAAATCGGTTCTCGGTCCATCCGGTCGGACTATGTCCAATCCGATTTAATTTAAAAACAATGGATAAATTATGATTAATGATATTTATATGTTTAATTTATAATACAATCATAATATTGTTTTCTCATGCATTGCAGGGGCCACGCACTAGTTAATAATAATGGAGATCATAATTTAGTGCAATTTACGAAAATATCGTGATGTTTCTTGCAATTAACTCTAATAATAATAATGACGGATATCATAATTTAGTCCCCTTTCCGCCTTTAATTTCCCAGTATCCAGCTAAGTTTTTAGTTTCTAGATCTAGAGAACCATATAATGATTTGAATTGACCAAAAATATATATAGTGGAACAATGAATATATGTACCCCCCCAAANAAAAAAAAAAAAAAAAAAAATCCAAATTTGGTCACGAGCCCTTCACAAGCTTGTCTCCAAATCACTCAAAATTGAGGCCACTTGTGAAATGGGTGGCCTATTTTCCCTACAATTCCCCACACAAGCCAAAGCAACCTTACTCAATCTAACAAGTGGCTCCACATGAGTTGGAATTGGAAGCCTTGGGTCCAAGAACTCACACAACCTCAACTCCTTAATCAAAGGCAAAGCCCATTGCACAATCAACCCTCCCTCACTCTTCCTCCCACTCAACAACTCCAACAAAACAACACCAAATCCAAACACATCACACTCCTTCGAAGCCCCATTTTTCTCCTCCGACGATGTCCCATACGAATCGTCCACGTACCCCACGAGGCCCTGCTTTTCGTGGGGCGCGAGAAAAGTGAGCCCGTAATCACTTAACCTGGCGCAGAATTTCACGTCGACCAGTATATTTGACGGCTTCACGCATCCGTGGATGATGGGCGGTGCCACCACTTCGTGGAGGTACTCGAGTCCTCTGGCGGCGCCCGCGGCGATTCTCAGCCGCCGACTCCAGTCGAGCAGGGCTGCCCCATCCGGATTCTGGTGGAGGTAGAAGTCGAGGCTCAGCATGCCATTGAATTCCATCAGTATGATTCGTTCGCCGGGAGCCTCCGAGAATCCTGCATTCATATGTCGCCGTAAAATCAAGATATTTTTCGTATTAGACAACATTAATCAACATTTGGAGTATAATCAACAAGAAATTGCTTTCAAGATAGGACAACTAATTTAACTGTTTTAATATAGAGTCATCGGATGACACGACTTATGGAGTCATCTACATTTATTCATAAATAGTGTATTGATATTTGTCCTACAATAAATACAATTTGGACAAATGTTAATACATTAAGTGATGGATGGTTCCATAAAAAAACCATTCGATGACTCCATAAAATTTCTGAATAATTTATAGAAGTAAATATTGAGTGGGTAATTACATATTTATACTTGTAATTTGTACAGTTTCATTCCCGTGTCCACGACAGACACGTATTAATTACGTATTAATAGATTAACCAACTGATGTAGTATTAAATGTGAAATGTGAGTATGTGACTGGCAAATCACGAAATTTCGACATGTGCTGATGGTATAGTGGATAGGTGGGATAAATCGATTGATCCGATTTTTGTGATTAGTGGATCACTTTTGATGAAATTTGATAAATTAATGTATCAAATTTTGATGACAATGTATCATTTTCAACCGAAAGTAAAATAAGTAGACTAAAAATGAAGTTTCAACCGTTACTAAGTAAAAGAAATAAAAAAGAAAAAAAAAACGAAAGTAGTGAGCATTTATTTAATTCACTTTTCAGATCAAATTTTGTCACTGCATAAAAAGTACCTGTGATGGGCACCAAATGGGGATGATCACAGAGCGACAGCCATTTGAGCACCGTCGAGAACCTAAATCCGGCGTTATTCAGCACCAGCCGCGGGTGGATCCTCTTCGCCGCCGCCAGCTCACCCTTCGCCATCACCGCCAGGTAAACCGTGCCGATCCTCCCCTTTCCGATTATCCGCCGGTGGTTGAACCCGTCGGTGGCCGCGTCCACCTCCGTCAGCGAGTACGACGCCGCCGAGACCCTGGCGGTCGGTACTCGATCCTCTTCCTCCGCTTTCGCCGGAGTCTTGCGCCGGCAGAGGACGAAAAGGACGGCGGCGAAAATCAGAGTAGTTGCCGAGAGAACTGCCAAAACGACGTAGTACGCGAGTACGCTTATGTTTTCTCCACCACTCAT